GAAGAAATGATTGATGTCTCTAATAAAACAATAGACAGGCAAGCTGCAATTCAGGCAGTATTTCACATTGAGAAATACAGGTCACCATTTCATATCTGCAATTCAGAAGTCTTAAAAACTGAAAACAAAGTTATTCCTAAGTTTCTGCCATATTCATTTGTTGATGAAACTGATTTGAGTGAGGTATTTTATTCCACTTTGAATATTCATGTTTCCCTGAAAATGTCACTATATTTGATACAGGGTGGTGGTCTACTACTGCAAGATATAACTTGACTAAATTATGAAAAGTTCTGAATTGAGAAACATCTTTCCCTGAGATTTTTGGCTAAGTAATTGTAGATCTGTACTCCTTTAAAAGGACTTGTTGCACACTTACTATATGGCATATGAACACATTGGTGAATAAAGGAGACCTGGCCCATATCTCATTGACCTTTTATCTAGTACAATTAGAGTTTCCTGAATTTTGGAAAAAACATTTAAGTGTTTTAACAGCAGCTTATAATTAATGTTAACTTTTGATAGTTCTATTATTTTCACTTTTTAGCATATTTAAAAATAAATTTGTTTAAAGTTTTTATACAGAAACAGTTTATTATAGTTTATTACTGCTTATTGCTATTTCTTTGTTAGGAACCCATAGTCATTTCTTACCTTCTTTGCAGAGAGGCTTATTTAGAAGACTTTATTATTTTACCAGTTTTCTTTATGTGTACTTCTTATATACTTTGGTAATGGCATCTATACATCTATTAATTGACAGTATGTCCTTTAAGAAATTATTTTTAGCCATTTAAGTAGCTGCCAGATAATGGTGCATGTCCACCATCTATTGGATTTAGTCACCATGGATAATTTTTTTCCTTTTTGACTCAGTAGCTTTAAAACCCAAAATTATATGGTCTTTTTTGAAGATACAGTCTAGCAAGAGAAGCAAATCATGTAAATGTAGAAAGCTCTGATTAGTATAATCCTCAGATTGTTATTTTATGCATTAACCTGTACAGGGAGAATATGAAATTGCAGTGCAGTGAGAGAAGTTTTAGAAGTAAAGTGAAGCATTTTTGAGAGAAATATCATTTAAGATTTATGCAAACTTACCCTTTAGCCTTTCTATTCTAGTCTGGTTTTAATGTGGTGCTGTTCTTAACATGGAAAACTCATAGGTTGATGCCCCCTTGTGGTCTGTTAACCAAAGCAAATAGCACAAATGGAACTAAGTAATGGAGATCTTAATACATGTTAAGTCATTCATTCCTTTCTTTATAATAATTTTTAAAAAGTGGCTTCTGAGGGAAAAAATAGGAAAATATTCCTGTGTTCTATATAGTTTACTGATTTTAAGACTTGCCAATTATTTTATAATTGAATGTGTATATATGTTAGCTGGACACTGACCTAAAGAAAAATAGGTTGTTGGGTTGACTATCATTGTCATCTTGGACATCTAACTTAATTAGTTGTAAGTGCATTAAAAATATATAATAGGCTTGGTCCACCACCCTCTCCCCCCCAAACACACACACACACACACACACACACACGCACGCCACGTGTGTATGTGGGGCTTGGGAAATTTGTTGTTTATATTCATACTGAGTTGCTTGACTTGAGGGCCAGGAGTTGTATGAAGCATTGGAAGAAGTAAAAATTTTCATTAGTGAATTGGTCCAGTTAAGTTTATTTGCTTTTCCTAGCATTATTGGCAGGGTCTTGTCAGTGTGTGTGGGTGGGTTTGTGGAGGAAGTGAAGAAGCAGCAGCGTCAGTCAGTGTTTTAAGGAAGACTGCAGATGCAAAGCAGCGGCTTTTCCTTGTACCCAGTAAGATTTATGATGGTTGAGAACAGTCCAGTACAGTGACTATGGGCTTTGAGATTAGATAGACCTGGCGTTAAAACAGATTTTATCTCTTACCAGTTCTCGGGCAGTTTGTAGTATCGAGGAAGTTACTGCAAGTCTGAGCATAAGTTTCCTCTCTTTAAGAAGTGAAGACTCATCTTGTTGAACTGTTTCATCATATAAAGTCTTGGCATTTATCAGTGTTATGATTACTTCTTAGTTCAGTTCAGTCGTGTCTTAGTTCAGACTTAGTCGTGTCTGACTCTTTGCTACTGCAGCACGCCAGGCTTCCCTGTCCATCACCAGTTCCCGAAGCTTGTGCAAACTCATGTCCATTGAGTCGGTGAGGCCATCCAACCATCTCATCCTCTGTCATCCCTGTTTCCTCCTGGCTTCAGTCTTTCCCAGCATCAGGGTCTTTTCCAAGAAGTCAGTTCTTCACATCAGGTGGCCTAAGTATGGTAGCTTCAGCATCTGTCCTTCCAGTGAATATTCAGGACTGATTTCCTTTAGGATCGACTGGTTGGATCTCCTTGCAATCCAAGGGACTTCTTAGGAAAAGGGCAATTTTGAGTTATAAAGAAAGCATTCCAAAAGATATATATATATTTTTAACAATTGGGCTATTGGTAAACATTCTAATGTTAGATTGAATGTGTCTTAAAAAGTGGTATAGTGATGAAATGTTTTTTGTTGTTTCACTGTGTTTTTCAAAAGTTGATTTTAGAACCAGTCTCACTATCTTATAGTCAGTTTATTTAATAATTAATCTAGTCCTCTAGTCCATTTCAGAAGGAATAAGGTTAGTTTCCATTACTTTTAACAGAAAAAAGAGACTGTAAAACCCCAGATGAATCATAAGATTTTCTCCTTTCCACAGATTTCCTTGGCAACTAAGTCATAAAAATTTATTAATATTTTCTTTTTGAATAAAAGGAGAAAACTAGAAAAATATCAGTATAAATACAGCTGCTTGGGTTCAAATGTTTGTTGGAATTAGGTGGGCTATAAATAATGTAAACAAAGATTTAACTGTAGACATATCATCAGAAGGCTACGGTGTGTATTCATGCTTGTCTCTTTCATGTTTTCCTTTATTTTTTAAGTTTCCAAAACTAGCCTACATTTGGGTCTAACTGAAGACTCTTGTTCTAACCCCTGTATGTAACCAGTAAATACTTTTAACGAAGAAAATATTTTGGCAGTGAAAATTTCTCTTGTTAATTGTGAAGTAGATTTTTGTTATTTTATCCTTTAATGTGTTCTTGGGGGAAACTTATTTCGGGAAAGAAAAGGGATGGGGAAAAATAGCTCCAGCAAAAGGGAGAGTTAAGATCATAAAGGGTGATGGCAAGAATACATGCCATTCTACCAGGAACTTGTTTTTTAAACATAAAAAGCATATGTGGCAAATTTACATATTTACTAATTAAAAAGGCTTCCTGGAAACATTAAGTAGACTTATCTTCTGTAACCTTTAACACTGTCACTAATGGATATTGCATAGAAAATTTCATCGAAGGTCCTTTAAATAATGTAAATGATTATGAATATGTAACTAGTTAATATGCAGCCACGAAAGGATTATCATGTAGAGGTTAATGAACATTCTGCTCTTATGGTTTGCAGGGCTTTTCTTTTTGTGCTTTTGGCTCACTTCATGCTTGGAAACACATGCATTGGGATTGGAAAGCATCCTGACTGTTTTTGGGTCTCTTCTTTTAATGGGGTTGTTAAATAAGAACTTTATAAAAAGGATTTCATGAAGATTTTTTCTTTTTCAATTTACATTTAATTCTGTTTGTCTATTTTATAATTACTGTCAAATCAGAAACAGTGAAATGGATTGATGTAGCTTTAGCCTGGTTCTTCCAGATGTAAAGTCAGTACTCTATTATATGTTATCACTGTTATTAAGTGTTGCTATGTGATTGATACTTATTGAGAGAGCTTTATTCTAAAACCGACTTTTTATGCTGAGTTAATGTGTAGTATGGTTGGATATCTGATTACAACATGTATTTTGGTACAGGATTGCTGCCTTAAAATGTCCTAAAGGAAGATATTTACTTCACGAATTAAATGTTATAATAGAGAAATTTAGTGACAGGCCAAAAAAAAAAAAAAGACTTGTGATTTTTAGATGAAACATGGTGCTTATGTAAGATGCAATATTGGTATTTAGAACAGTGAGTGAGAACAGTGTTTCAAGCTGTAACACTGCTGTCTTTTTCAGGTGGCATTATATTAAGCACAGTAATTTCATCCCTTAGTTTCTCTTCCTCTAAAATGGTGCTACAGTATTTGAAATCATTGTTTAAAATTTTGTTATCAATGGGAAGTTTAAAACCATAATTAGTAATCTTTGAAAAGGGTTTTTTTTTTCTTTTTTTTTTAAAGTTGCTATTCACATGTTCTTTTTTCTCCCCTTACTGGTTAGTGTTCTTAATTTTTTGAGCATTTTAAGAATCTATTGAAATATCTCTAAGGAAAACAAGTAAGTTTTATGTTTAATTTCATTGTTTTAGTATTACAAGCATAGCTTAAACTGACTATGAAGTGTTTAAAATTTTATCATAATTCACCAGGGGAGCAAAATGGGCCGTTCAGAGCAGCTCTTTATCCCAAGTATTTCTTCTTGAGATGTAGTAGAAAAATATCACTGTACTCATTTTTAATGCATCAGAATAGAAATTACAGGTGAAAACATTTGAAGATATACTGACAAAATAAAATACTTTCACTACTGTCATTTTTTTTTAAACTGATGAAATGTGGATGTTACATTGGTTTTTTGTTATTTATAACATTTGTGTATTCTGCAAAATATGTAACATTGAAAACAGGCCTGCAGATTGTACAAAATACTAGTTATCTTATATCATATGTCACCTAATAGTTATGAAGTGGGTTTTGTACCTAAGTATGAATCGGAAAGCTGTAATTTGTCCTGCAGTTATCAGCCTGCATTAGAGAGGTATGATAGAGTGTGCTGCTTAAAAACTAACATTCACATCTCTGTGCATTTGACAAATAAAAATGTATATTGAGATGCTTTTAAATCTGTAAAGCCACTACTGTAGTTTTCTGATAGAATGATTTTGTAGCTTTGTGCATTGCCCTGTTTTTTCATGAGTAGTTATCTGTTTTCATGACAGGTGGTCACTAACTGCCAAGAGAAAATCCAGCATTGGTGAGTGAAAGATTGTTTTATTACCTTTCTGAAATACTAATGGAGTCACTTATTTGTATTTTAAAAAAGTACAGTTTTTGCATCCTGTAATTGAATTCTTCTAGTAATCTCCATTTTGAATCCTTTTGGTACTAATTTATATTTTCTTTAATTGTTTATTGAATTCTGTGTTCTCTGATTTCCTGAAGTTGCATCGCCATTTGTGTTTAATATTTTAATTGCTTTCTTTTTCCCTTCCTTCGTTTCTTTTTTTAAAGTTAGAATAATATTACTATTGTTATGAAGTTGAGACTGATGCATTTTTTAACCTAACTAATCAGCTTTATTTTGAGACTGTTTTTTTGTATATGTAGTAGAATAATAATTAGAATCAGTTGTTTTAAAATAGTGATGGAAATATGTACAGATACATTTTACCAAAGTTTGAAAAATCTAATTAATTGGCTGCATCTCAGAGCTTGCTTTAGAGACCACACTTTTTAGAATATAAAGAGAAAGAAAGCGTATCTATTTTAATGTGCTAATCTATAGTTAATAGGACAGTGCTTGGTAAATAACACATTTCTTGTGTCTTCTGAGGAAAATGCTCAGTTAAATGGTGAATAAAATCTTATGAGTTGTCATGAGGTATAGCTGTTGGTCTTACGGATATCAAATTACAATATATCCATGCTGTGTTTACGAAGATTTTACTGAGAGAACAACAGGAGCTGTCTTGATTATTGTCTGCAGGGTTATTGCAAAATCATGATAACTGCCCCTTTAGTGGTGAGATTAAACCTTTGGTTATACACCATCAAGCATATAATATTTTAAATTTATTTTAAGAGGCTTTTTCTTCATGCCTGAGAGATCTTCAAGGAAATAATTTATAGTTAGTGTATATCAAATGTTTTTTGGTTTAAATGCACATAGCCTGCAAGCAGTGGATAAGGGTAAAAATTGGTGCCATCTGTACACATCATCTTATTAAATTCTGACTTTTGACTTGCAGAAATAATCTAAAACTAAATAATATCCATTTTATAAATAAAAATTCAGAGACTTCATTAATTTTCAATAAATGGAGAGTTGTAGCTGCATCCACTGGTGGTTTAAGTCTGTCAGTATTTCCATAATGGACCATTTACTTTTCATTTTACATTCAGTCCAGGTTGAAACTTGAAATGCAAGTACTTGGTCAAAGAATTAATATTTTTCACCTGCTAATTTGGCAAAAGTGATCCATTTTACAGATAATTCCCAGGTGAAGTTTTACAGTGTGGACTTACATTGGTTTTGGTAAAGAATTCAGGACCTTAGTAAAAGGTTGATTCACTCAGAACAGATACTAATTTACACAGTGTGTGAATGACACCTTGCTTCTGGTTTGTGTTTTAAGATTCTTTCCCTTCTAGACTGAAAGTTCTTTAAGGCTAAGGGACATGTTTTCTTCCTTTTATTTATAGCACCTCCTACTGTGTTTTGCACGGTATAGGCACTTAATAAGTGTTTGAATAAATAAAGACCAAATATTTGATTATTTTATGTATAACATTTTTACAAGTACCATATAGTTATGTACAGCATTTTTAGAAGTACTATATAGCATTACCCAAGCCTGATGCACATTGATAGACAGAAATGTGTCATTTACATCAGAGCAGATGCATATGAATCTCAGTCTCAGTTTCCAGATTTTCTGTAGTTCCAAACTACAGAGCTTAGCATATTTGCCTCCACATATCTTAAAGTAATATAGTACCTTATCTACATGTTAAACAATTAAAATAATTTTTCCAGTTAATTTGCATTTTTCTCTGAATTATTTTTAATATGGCTCAGGAAACAGACTTTTATGTTTGTTTTTAATGAGGATCTGATATTGCTGGAATCCAAATGGCCAGTGAATTCACCAATTTATTACATTAAAAAACTGAAACCAAGTGTCTCCATTCCTCTGAAAGCTAGGAAATTGCTATTTGGGAGTGCTGTGGAATTCTTGTGATGTTTTTACTATCTTAATTCCAGAAACAATGGTTGAGTTTCTGCCACATGCCAGCATTATCCTGCTCTTTGGAGTTGGAAGGCCCTGCTGTGGAGAGAGTCAGCAGTCCCCAGCCTTCTTGGCCCTGGGGATCCGTTTCGTGGGAGACAGTTCTTCCACGTACTAGGGCTAGGAGGGACGGGGGAGCCTGGTGGACTTCCATCTATGGGGTCGCACAGAGTCGGACACGACTGAAGTGACTTAGCAGCAGCAGCAGGGGTAGGAGTCATCGTTTTGGGATGATTTAGGTGCATTACATGTATTGTATACTTTATTATTATTACATTAGTTCCACCACAGTTCATCAAGCAGTAGATCCAGAGGTTAGGGATCCCTGGAGAAATTCATAGTTGGACACTAAACAGGGAAATCACAATAATTTTGTGCTAGTTGGTTAGAGATAGGAAGCAAAACAGAGATGAATTATTTTTAAGGGTGTCTCATGCACTGCTTTTAAAAGCATGTTGCTTTTCACTAACCTTTGGTGTTATTATAGTCTAAAATACAATTCATGTAACTAAGTTTCCCTTCTTTATGAGTACATACCAATATAATAAGGAGGAGCAAAATATGTGATTTTTTTAAAGTGTTATCTTAGGCTAGTGATGTTTATGTTTGTTTGTACAGTTTTAAAAAATTCTTAAAGGGAAGAGTAATGAATTAGAATATTACCCTTCAAAGATAATCCTATTTATTTTAAATGTAGGACACAAAATAAAAATATTTATAGAAAAGAAGGAGTAAAAATGGTCCAGAGCAATGAGATCTGCCCCCATAAATCTCTTTGAGAAAATTAATTCAGATCCCAGAACTTTGGTTTACTTAAAGACATTTATAGTATTCGTTTAATTAATAACAGATAAACAGGAAATGTTTGAGCCTAATAGTTGAGAATTTGTGTAACATTTTTAGAGCTACTAGTGGTTTTCAATTTAGTGAAAATTTAAGAAAATTTTTAGGTACATCTTTTTTTCCATGTAATTCTTTCAGGAAATAAGGCATTGTAAAATCCATACACTATTTTCTCATTAAAATGTCAGTGTACTTCCTAGTGTTTGATTGATTTGGGGCTGATAACTCTGTAGATTATTTGTGATTTTTTATCCTTTTAATTCTTTCCTAAAGAGCATGGAGGGATTTGGAGGCACAGACCTATGTCGGAATTCTGTCATTTTCTAACATTGTCACCTTGGGTGAATTACGAAGATTCTTAAGTTTTCTTCTTGTAAAGTGATTAACTTGATGATCAAGTGTGAGATAATATCTATAGTCTATCCAGACTGGCCCTTAATAAATACAGTAACTCTGAAATCTTTTTTGAAAAGTTTTAAACTCATTATTAGATGAAGAAAGAAGGAAAAACCAAAAACCCTCCAAAGCTTTGTAAATATTCTTGAATATTTTGTGTTAACACCATTATCTTCTTTTATCGTGATGGAGAGATGGTTTACTGAGTGGTATTGTTAAGCTTTTATTGTGTTCAAAAAAACTTTCATTATGAAGAGTTTCAAAGGGTGACAGAGTTGTGTACTGAACCCACATGTATCCATCACTCTGCTTCAATGATTATCAACTCATGGCTTCATCTGAACTGTTTGTTTCCTTTTAAAATAGTGTATCCTACCCTCTTCCCCCACCTCTTAACTCTTTTGGCATGAATCTGAAGCATATCACTCCATGTGGACATATTTTAGTATACATCTTAGAGACATAAAGGATTCCATATTAACTTTTTAAATTGTAAGTTAAAATATTTGAAATCACGACTCTATACCTGGACATCACCAGGTAGTCAATACTGAAACACATTGATTATATTCTTTTCAAAGCAAGATGGAGAAGCTCTGTACAGTTAGCAAAAACAAGACTGGGAGCTGACTGTGGCTCAGATCATGAACTCCTTATTGCCAAAATCAGACTTAAATTGAAGAAAGTGGGGAAAACCACTAGACCATTCAGATATGACCTAAATCATATCGCTAACAGTTATACAGTGGAAGTGACAAATAGATTTAAGAGATTAGATTTGATAGACAACAGCGCCTGAAGAACTATGGGCTGAGGTTCGTAACATTGCCCAGGAGGTAGTGATCAAGAACATCCCCAAGAAAAAGAAATGAAAAAGACAAAATGGTTGTCTGAGGAGCCCTTACAAATAATTGAGAAAAGAAGAGCAGTGAAAGGCAAAGGAGAAAAGGGAAGAGATACCCATCTGAATGCAAAGTTCCGAAGAATAGCAAGGAGAGATAAGAAAGCCTTCCTCGGTGATCAATGCAAAGAAATAGAGGAAAACATTAGAATGGGAAAGACTAGAGATCTCTTCAAGAAAACTGGAGATACCAAGGGAACACTTCATGCACAGATGGGCACAATAAAGGACAGAAACGGTATGGACCTAACAGAAGCAGACGATATTAAGAAGATGGCAAGAATACACAAAGAAGAACTATACAAAAGAGATTTTCATGACCCAGATAACCACAATGGTGTGATCACTCACTCAGAGCCAGACATCCTGGAATGCGAAGTCAAGTGGGCCTTAGGAAGCATCACTACGAACAAAGCTAGTGGAATTGATGGAATTCCAGTTGAGCTATTTCAGATCCTAAAATATGATGCTGTGAAAGTGCTGCACTCAGTATGCCATCAAATTTGGAAACCTCAGCAGTGGCCACAGGACTGGAAGAGGTCAGTTTTCATTCCAACCCCTAAGAAAGGCAATCCCAAAGAATGCTCAAACTACTGCACAATTGCACTCATCTCACACACTAGCAAAGTAACGCTCAAAATTCTCCAAGCTAGGCTTCAACAGTATGTGAACAACTTCCAGATGTTCAAGCTGGATTTAGAAAAGTCAGAGGAACCAGAGATCAAATTGCCAACATCTGTAGAATCATCGAAAAAGCAAGAGAGTTCCAGAAAAATTTCTGCTTCATTGACTGCACTAAAACCTTTGACTGTGTGCATCACAACA